CGAGGCCAAATGCTTTGCGTTGTCTAAAGCGAACTACGGATGGATTGCTCGGGCTCCCACTTTCACGGCTTCCAAGCAGCTTTGGACTTGTTTGTGGAGGGCTGCTGGGACTATCCATTACAGTAGCCCTTGGGTTCGGGCCCTTATCTGGGGCAACTGTCACCTGGACGTTCTGTGGGCGACTAGGCTAGTTGGTGGGTTGCTTAGGCGAGCGGCTAAGGAGCCAGTCAGGTGGACGTCTGCCCGAGGGACTGCCTGCCGGGCTCTGCAGGACTGGCTTCTCCAGCGTGGCTGGACGGTTGCAGGGGCTTGGCAGTGGCGTCATGCTCTCAGCAATGCTGTTTTGGACCTTGGAATCCGGCAGAGGGCCCGGCTTACGGCGTCGGCCTTAGCGCGTCGCATTGGCCGCGAGCACCACTCTTTGCGTGAGGGCTGGAGGGCGTGGATCGCCCTGCAGTGGCTTGGCAGTGACCGTCACGAGCTTAATGGCGTGGACCTTTGGCAGGCCGGTGGCCCAGGTTTGACCAGAGTTTCGTGGAAGGGAGTCCGTGACTGGGCCTCGTCCAGTGCGGCTGCTGCCGCAGTGGCGTCTGGGAGTACGTTTACTCCTGCCACATGGAACCATGTTTCCAACAGACCTGAGGGCATGTCGGACAGATGCATTTGGAATTGCGGATGTCTTGGGACCCATAGGCATGTCTTTTGGGAATGCCCCCGACGGCCTTCTTCGGTGCCTTGCCCGACTAACCCACTCGTTTCTCGATTTGGGTGGTCTGTGAGTGGCGGTGAGCGTGGCGTCGCTCTCAAACGCGTCAGGGAGTGGATGTGCCATGTGCAACATGAACTCTGGCGCAACAGATGGGGCCGGGACCCTTCTGCTGTCGAACGCTAGGTCCCTGTTCCTAGCGCTCGCTCATGCTGTGTCGACGACTTGACGACGACGCACATGCTTGGGTTGTGTGTGTTGTGGGGGCGGCGGGTTGGTCCTGTAGGCTCTCACTGCATGTACGTTTGTTTGCACTCCTGTCATGTGACTGTGCTGGCTTTTGGCTCCTGCTGCAGGGAAGCCCCGGCTTCTCTGACTAAGGTACTTGTCTGCGGAGCGCATCTAAGGACATGCCTTGGTGCTACGTCGATTGGCGGCGGGAGCACATCGAAAAGTCGTATATGTTTACATCTGCCCCCTCGTCGATGAGCTGCTGCACTTTTGTGGCATCGCCGTCTTTCGCAGCTTGGATCAACTCGGCAAAGCCCAAAGTGCCACGCACGAGAGCGATGAGGAGCAGAGGCACGAGCTTCAGGCACATGGCTATTCGCATTTACCCCCTGCACAATTGGCAGGCTCTGCGACTCACTGCGCGAGTTTCTTTCTGGTTTCCTTGAGCAGTACATTACCGGCACGCAGCTCGTGCGACACTCTGATGACATGCAAGAGGCCTTCATCACTTGTTGACCTACAGACTTCCACGCTAGGCTTTCCCGGTGTACTACTACTACTACTACTACTACTACTGCTGCTACTGCTACTGCTACTGCTACTGCTACTGCTACTGCTACTGCTACTAACTACTACTACATTACTACTGTTAGCATATTTGCTTTTGCATTGGCCCTTACGTTTACAAGCCCTTAAAACGACATCTTGCACAGAAAGCTATAAGCTCACTGTTGGCTTCCTCAAGCATAAGCCGCAAGCAACCCCCAGTACACTGGCAAGTGAGCTGTTTCGGACGCTTTGCCTGACCCCTGCAAAGCCCGTCTTTCGAATTTGCAAGCATGTAGGGTTGACGCCACAGCACTTGGGGCTTGGCTTTAACTGCATCAGGTGGGGATGGGCAGGGGTTGGCGCTTCCATGTGCTCAGCGCATACAGCAAGAACCCGTGCTCGCTCAGTCGCCATCACAACCTGCTTCAGGAATTTGGATTTGACAACGTTGGTGGCCTTTGGGTGTTGGCAGTTTGCCGCTGTCTGTAGCATAGGGTTTTTGCTGACGTTTGCTGGTTTTGACTCTCACGCGCGCACAAGTCAAGGGCAAACTTCTGCGGCCCCCATTGCCCTCGAACACTCACTTACTGCAAATTTCGCTCTGACACTGAAAACATTCATCCTCTCCCTTTCTGGCTTTCCTTGCCTTACCTTTCAACTGTAGTGTTCCTTGTCTTCTCCCTCTTTATCTCTTTCTCGCTTCTATCTTACTCTATGTCCATCTTTCTTGTATCTCTCGGCGGTCGTGCTCTTCCAGAAATCTCAAGGTTGTAAACTACCGTCAGGACAGAAGTGGCCTCTTCCGCTTTCGGCAAGGAGTCGCCTGTCAAAACCAAACATGTAGGCTGTGAGGCAAGGAAACACTCTCGGGCGACGACAAGAGGGGCAGCAGCAGAAACGTTATGATTCTGACTGCCACCAAGTTGAGTTTAACATGCACTGGAATGTTTCGAACAATTCTTCTCGCTTCGATGTTGGTTTCACGAGTCTGGCTCGACCTTCGGACATCCTGAAACTGCCGGAATCCATGCTTCAAGGTTCAACACTGAGGATCACCGAACCTAACCCTAAACCGGAGACCCGAAACTCTAAACCCTAAACCCGAACGGCCCGAAACCGAAAACTCGAAACCCGAAAGCCTGAAATGGAAAGCCTGGGCCTGGAAGTTGCCCTGCGACTTGGGGGCATGTCGTCCGCAGTATCCGCTGCCCTGGAACCCAGGGTCAGGAAGTTGAAAGCTCTGGGGGGTTATGGCTTCGGCGCTCACACTCGGACAAGCCAGGCGAGGTTGTTGGTACGTGGTCTTAGGTTTAGGTGCTTTTGGCTCCTGTAGGATTTAGGATTTTTGTTGAAGGGCTTAGGCTTTCTTTTGGTAGCTTAGCACCGGGTAAGGTCTAGGGCCTCCTGAGTGGTCAGTCGGTCGCCTTCCAAGCTGGTTTTCCAATCGCGCTGTTCGTCTTCGCTCCTTGAGTGCCTCTCTCGTAAAAAACACGAAACCCCTAAACCCTAAACTCCTAAACTCCAAACCCTTAACCCCCTGCCAGGTAAGGCACCCAAAACGCCTAAACCCCAAAAAATCTAAACCTGAAACCCTGGGCCTGGGAGTTGTCCACTTCGGGGCACGGCTGCCCTGAAAACCGAGGGCCAAGAAGTAGAAAGCTTAGGATATTTAGTCTCTGTAGGGTTTGGGGTAGGGATTTGATTTGGGGGCCTTTGGGTTTCAGGTCTGTCTGGTAGTTTACGCTTCCATCTTCAAAGTGTTGCGGACGTATTCTCGTAAGGCAAGTAGGCTTGGCTTGGCTCTCCCCCTTTCCCGCCGGCGGAGGCCTTCTCGAGAAATGCAATGGGCTCTGAAACAAAATCTTGTGCTACTTGCTACATACTTCTCCGATGCTCTCTCGCGGCCTCTCTCTGTCCTCCTCTCTTTGTCTCAGGCTTTACTACAGGACGTTGCCTTCAAGCTTTGCTCCCTCAGCAAAGAAGGCAACTTGGCAGGTTGCATCCCTCCTAAAACAAACGAAAAAGCGCAAAGGTGTTGCCTTGGCCCCTAAGTTCTGAAGGCTTTTCGGCCCTTGCTCTCGCAGGAGGCAGGCAAGGCTCCACATGATTCAAGCTGAGACCAGAGGTTTCAAAGCTTTCACACCAAATCAGGTCCCCCAGCCCGGGACAGAGGCGCCCCGAGGGTTCGACTGCGATCGGGATCTTCTGGGCAACTTCGCCCATTTTTTCTACCGAAATTCAGGGAAACCCCTGTTTTTTTTATGCCCCTGGGCTTGGGGCCTAAACCCTTAAAATCCCTAAACATCCCTTACAAACCCTCAACTTCTTAGGCCCCGCCCCCCTTCCTCTCCAGGCCCCAGAGTCAGCCCGCAGCCGACTCCAGGCCCGGCAAAATTCAAAAAAGGAGACTTTCGCTCGAAACTGTCGCTCCAAACTTTGGCACCCAAACCCTCAACAACTTCTGCATTCATTTATACACATATGTATATGTATGTGTGGCAATTGTAGAAGTGATGGTGCAGGAAAAGTCAAGACCAGAGCTGGGCTTCAGGCGGCGGCTGCGAGGAGCCGAAGAGGCCGCTGCGTCTGCTCTTTGGAGCCGAAGAGGCCGCCGTGGCGGCTTCGCTGCACACACAAGCGCCCGCAGAGGCTTCGGGGCTCAGGGTTTGGGAAGTTTAGGGTTTGCAGGGCTGTAGGGACTTTAGTGTTCAGCGGCAGCCCAGGCCAGGCGGTCAAGAAAGCACCTTGTTTTTTTGCGCCACGAGCAACAGTGAGTGGGAAACCGGGTCCCTGTTAAGGCATGTGGACAAACGACCCACCCACGACGGAGAGGTCCCGGCAACACAGGGTGTGGCCGCCGTCAGCAGTGCTCCAAGAACAGCCAGTTAAGATTTAGGGTTTAGAGTTTAGAGTTGGATCAGCTTGGGCACATGCCCAACTTACGGCGAGCTCGTTCGAGCTTGTTCTGTTGTGTGCAGTTTTTGTGAGACGAGAATTTAATTCTGGACTGCAACTGTCCCTAAACTCCTAAAACCCCCAAGCCCCTAGACCCCAAACCTTACTGCAACTGTGACACAGTATCGGAGTCTGGAAACGGGATTGCAGCCCATCTCCGGCACCTCTTGAGCCAGAGGTTGCACTGTCGAAATCATGCCGCATCTAGGGCCAGGTAAGGTTTAGGGCTTAAGGGTTTAAGGTTTAGGCTACAGTGTTTAAGTTTAAGGGTTTAAGGTTTAGGGCTTAGGGTGTAGGGTTTGAGGCTCGTGTGGCTCCTAGTCCCGGCCGAAACCTTCGACCTCAGACGCAAAGCGGACGCATTGCAAAAGCGCCAGCTCTCTGGGCAGGCTGTACCAACTAAGAACTGAGCCAAGGGCGGCTTGGGCACGTACCCTAGAGTCACACTATGCAATTGTAAGGGTAATCTCATTTCACGCCGTCATGCCTTGCCCGGCATGTTTTGTGAGAGCTTGGGACTGCAACAGGATTGGAATCTCGGAATCGGCTTGCAGCTCCCTCATCGCGGGCTTAGGATCAGCCTGCGGTTGCTCTTCTGGCTCGTAGTCTAACTCTTCTGACTCATAGTCTAAGTCTAAACGTTCCACTAGAAACGCTGCCAATCCATAAACGCTGAGGAGCACGCTGAAGCACTGTACAATCGCTTGTATTGCAGTCTGCACACAAAATACGTAGCTGTACGATGTTATCATCAGGCTGAAGAAGGCTTCGGCGCCCTTCTCCTCGTCAAAGACCTCAAGCCTGGGACGCCAAGCCACATGCAGCAGGTAGGGGATGTCTTCTTGATGCTTGGGTGCGTGTGCATACTTGCGCCCTGCTTTGTCCCGAACTTGCCTTTCATGTCAACCAGAATTTGGAGTGGGACTGCCCTGTTGAAAGAAGAGAAGCGCAGTTCCGTGACATGATATCTTGCCCACCTGCACAAGTTGATAGCCTGGAGATCTACTCCCGCCAAACTGTGGCACCCAGCAATGCTAGAGAAGAGGCAAATGATGTCGTCACATTGTATTGCAAAGCAATGAACACTGTTCCTGAAAGCCGAGGCTGTCTTCCCTTCAGTGGGAGACTGAGCTGATTTCAGTAACGCAGCTGCCTTTTTTCCTAAACGCTTCCATAGCAACAATATCACATCCCGCTGGTCGCCAAGAAAAGGACTAGGTACCCGGTTTCTTGCTGAAGAGACACGCTGTTGAATTCCTCTTGCAATAGTCTTGCAGGAACCGCTGCCGTGCTGTTTTCTGGCTACAAGAATGGATGGCCTGTTGTTGGATAGCAAAACCAAAGCCCGAAATCCACGGCACAGACCTCAAACTGCGCAAGACTGGACCCCCACGCTCCATGACCCCCAGAATGAAGTGCATTCCGCGAGCTTTTGAAGAGCCCGTAGCATCTAAAGATCGCCCCACCCAACCGAAACCACGGGTTTGGAGATGCGCTCCCACGCAGGAACCCCACAGTGTAAGCAGCTTCCGGGGAACAAGAAGAGCCGCTCACAGAAGTGGTGGTGGTGGCAGTCTAATGCTCTGAAGCCGCGCAGCACTACCCGGTGGAGAAGTCCACGGCGAACGCTTTCATCCAAGGCCTGTCCCCGCCAGGGCTAAGTTCTGCATCCGGAAAAGTTCTCATGGCAACATTGCAAAGGATATACTGACATCGGACTGAGGCGTAAAGCGCAGAATGCAGTAAGGCAAAAGCGAAGACTTCCCACGTTTCGGATTCTTGACTTGGTGCCGCTCTATTTATATATATACACACACATAAGTATACACACGTATATATATATATATATATACATAACATACATATATATCTATATATATGCCTGTGATTTGCGGACTGGTCGTACGCAAGAACATGTTCAGAGTCACGCAACAGTACTCATCTAGCCGCTCCATGGCTCTTAGCTAGATTCGCTTCAAGTATCGTGAAATCATGGCACTGGCAGCACATGTCTGCTGGCCCCGCCTTCTTGAAGCTTCCCAGATTTCCTAGTTGCTTTGCTGTACTTCTCGTGACGACGAAGGTGAGGCACCCCGCGAACTTGTAGTTCCTGTTGGACGGCAGTTCACAGAAATGGAAGAAAGCGGCATGAGACAAGCAGTCCTCGACACCAGCAGGCTGAAAATCGTGTTGAGGTCCAAAAGAACATCGAGCGCCATGAAAAAAAGTTTAACTTTCAGTGCATCCATGTCGAAGCAGTGCTTCTGCTCCCATTGCACTTTGGTCAGTGTGGGCAGCTTGTGCTGCACTGCTTGGAAGCCGTCGCTTGCCAGCTGCCGGGCAAGCGTCGGCCCCGTCTCATTTACATGTTCTGTGGCTGTTGCCGTATGGCAACAAGCCCCTCTGACAATTTGCACCAGCAATGCTATGATGTATGCAAGCAAACAGAACACCTGCAACATGAGAAAGTACGAGAAGATATCCCGTGCTGACACCCTCAGCAGGCTTTCAGCCTGGGCGGTGTATTGCTTGGGCAACAGGTGCAGTGCTTCTACATCATCGGAGAGCGTCCTTGAACCCCAAACCCGCTTAATGGTGGTAAGTACTATATCGGACACCAAAGGGTTTATTATCTGTGTCGCAAAAGGCCCCGAAAACCGTATCTGACAGTTGTGGATATCTGGACGAAAACAAACACTGAAGACCAGTGCCACGGGACCTACGAATCCGACGAGCACGAACGAGCGCAGCATGCTTCGACAGCTCCGGTTCTGAGGCGAGGCAATTGCCAGTGCTGGCAGTTGGACCACCTGCATCAAGCCGTGCTGGCAAGCTGCTGGCAAGACAAAAGCTGCAGAAACTACAGCAAGCCAGACAGGCCACCAAACAATGATCATGGCCATTCCACCCAACAAGCTGCCGTTCACCATAACTTCCAGGGCTCTGAAGGCGAGCTTGAGGCCCTTGCCCTCTGTGCGTGCTTTCGCAACCTGGATCCTCGCACTTCTGAGAAAGTTTGATGGCTCACCGTCTTCCGTTGGCAAAGGCAGGTGTTGGCCTCGTTTGGCCGACTCGGCGCAGGCCTCGACAGCCACGGCCAAGAAAGCCACGGCCAGCGCAGCTGCCGGGACCGCATAGGTCCACGGTTCCCGGGCCGCCATGGACAGCTTCTCTCCAAGGCTCTCATGTAACGCAGGGCGCAGGCGCGCGCGGCGTCGGCAGTATCTGGGAGTTCCGACACTTTGTGATCCGCGAGAAATCCTTTCGCCCAGACCTTGCATCCCAAACGATGAAGAAAGGACTCGAAGTCCTGCCAGGGACGGTGCGCTTGCATGTGCAAGGGAATACCACCGGCGTTGACATGCCTCATGAACTGACACAACGCCTTCCAACCCAACGGCACCTCCGAATGCCATGCTCCTGACCCAAGAAGCGTCCTTCTTTTAGGACCCTATTTCAAACGTAGACACTGCCAACACACACGCCCGCACGTTTTCGCTGGGTCCTCTACATTCAGGAGGCGAACCACCCTTCTAAACCCACCGGAACCCACAATGGTTCTAACAGACACGCACCACAAGCCAGCACTCCTGTCTGCCTCCCTGAAAAAGTCAGCAAATTTCAGGCTTTAGCCCCAACACGACCCAATAGCATGGAAGCTCAGGATTTAGGGTTTAGTATAAAGGGCTTCGGGATGCTTAGGTTCCAAAGGCCACGATTCTTCGACTCGACAGAGGCCCACTGCCTTCCAACCTCAGCGAATATACGGCCAAGATGCTGGAAGTAGAAGCATTGACCCTGAACGGTCTCTTGTCCAAAACCCTACCCTGAAAACTATGTAACAGGAAACCAGGCCGGTCCAGCCTCTAGCTCCAACCTATGCCCAACATGGGATAGCAGCATGAAGGGTTATGCACTGGGAGCGGTAGGTACACCACCAACCGCAAGACCGGAGACACCGTAAACACCAAACCCAGCGTAAGGATCTTAACCGTCACTTCATGAATTGAGCGGAGGTCCTTCGCATTCATCGCCGCACCTGCATTCACCAAGATCTGCAACCTACTCTTGCTATACCTGACCTCGTCAAGACGTGGCCCGACTGCATGATGGGTCTGGCAAGGAAAGGTACAACAACAAAGGATTCGAAGCCGTTGACAATGAGTAGTCACGCAAAACTCAAAGCAGGAGTTGTATATCAATGGCAGCTGCAGCTGCGATGGCCGCAACACTTCTCCCTGATACTTAGCAGATGCCTCTCCCCGTGCCCAAGACTCCCAGGCCCACAAACAGGCCTTTTGCTGGGGGGGGGGGATGTTGCTGACAAGGATAGTTCCGCCTGGCTCATGACGGCTACCAATCTTTGGTTGGAAGCAAGGACCCGGCACCGGCCACGAATCTTAAGATTCCCCCCTGCCTCACCTCCAAGTGCCACAATTAAAGGAAATTCCCCTGCCTCACCCCCATATGCCTGAATTGATTTGCCGAGAGAAGCTCGGCCTTAGCCTTCGAAGCGATTCCTCAAGACCTTTCCCGAATCGCCGCTTTAAACCCTGAACCTGGAGCCTACATGAAATACAAGCATGGCCGATCCAAAGAACCCCTCATGCGCGCAAACGTGCTTACACATGAGGATGACCTGTCCTAGTTCAGCTGACCACCTGCCTGTGTCTGATGCCTCCACAACATCGAAGTCTCGCGGCTTGGGGCTAAGACTACAGCACTTGGCTTTTTCCACTTCAGCGATGATGGAGATTTGGAGCGACCCTTCTCTCAGAACCCTTGCATGGCGCCATCATCAGATGTCTGAAATTCAGAACTTTCAGCCGGGGTGTCGGAGAGCCAGCTATCAAGCTGGACGCAGGTGCGACAGCCCAAATATCCCCAACTCACAAACGCGCCACCTACCCTCTGCTTCTTGCTTCCAAAAAAATACTTCTTCCTGATCTGGAAAAAAAAAGATTCCGGTGTCGTGAACTGAACAGTAACATCTGCGCCTGCATCGAGAAGAACCTGGGCAGTCTTCTCGTGGCCCTGCCAGGCAGCGGCGTGAAGGGATGTCTTGCCGTCGTGGTCCTGCCCACGGGGTTCCCTTGCCTTGCCCTTCGACTTCGGTGCCGGGGGCTTGTCGCGCTGTAGGTAAGCACGCAGAAAGAGCTCAGGCTCAGTAACGGAACCGCTTCGCGCAGCCCTAGTAGAAACAGGAACCGCGCCACGAGCGAAATAGAAACTATCCCTGGGAAGCCAAGCAGTGGAAACTACGGTGCAAGTCTTCTGTGGGGGACCAGTTTTCGGCCCCTTACTTTGCGACCACTAAAGCCGTATGCTCACGCCTATTTTTCTTTGTTGGGCTCATTTAGAGTTCAGGATTCAATAAGATTCATGGTTTGGGACAGAGGAAAGGTTTCAACATGTCGAAGAATGGTTCAGGATTGGAGGCTTACAACAAGAGTTCACATGTCCAAAGCAACCCTCGTCGTGAATTTCTGATGGCTAGAGCTGAATAGTGTCGGAAAGGCATGCTGGAATCGTAGGTCTGAATCCGTGTAAGTGGGGGACCGGAAAGCGTCTCCTGAGTTGGGGAGCCAATAAGAGATGGAAGGGCCTATGTTTTGGTGTATTTTTTGGAGGGGGTGTCTTTTTTTCCTGGTGCGTTTTGATTGTTTTTCCTAGGAAAACAGCCTGCTCCTTACATGTTGAATGGATTCCGTGATATTTCCTTAGGTTTCCCTAGGAAAACCTCTATTCCTTTCTTTTTCTTGAAGCAAACGAAACGAAGGAAGGAAGGAAGTTAGGAAGGAAGGAAGCAAGCAGAAAAGGAAGGAGGAAGGAAGGAAGGAAGCAGGAACGAAGGAAGGAAGGAAAGAAGGAGGGAAGGAAGGAAGGAAGGAAGGAACGAAGGAAGCCAGGAAGGAAAGAAGCAAGAAGGAGACAAGACAAGAGGATGATACCGTGAGAAAGACTGGCACAAAACATCTCACAATGAGTGGGTTTTATCCCTGAGTGGGTTTTATCCCAAGCCTATGGGTATGGCAATTCTGCAGGCATGGAAGAATCACCGGCACCTCTTACAGCCGTGCACACCAGCCGACCTCAAAGGATCCAGATGTCGAGCGAAAGCAGTATTTCAGTGGCCAAGCCTTCCTCACACAGTTGCCGTCCTACAGCCAAGCAGACCGAGCCTTCCTCACCCAGTTGCTGTCCTACAGCCAAGCGGACCAGCCGACCTCGGAGTGTGCAGTGCAATCCTGCGGAAGATGTTGAAGACCCTAGGTTCGTGCTGGTGCCCCAAGCCAGAAAGCCAAGCAAGGGGTCAGGCTGAAACGTGCAGCCAGTCCTAGCCTCAGAGTTGCCAAAGCTCGACGTGGCAAGCCCACATCTCCTGTGGACATAGACCCTTGGACCTGCTGGAAAAGCAGAGCGGCACCCGTGTCGCGAGGACAGATTGTAACTCAAGGACCAAAATGATGTATGATTTTGATTTGAGACTGACAGATCGGCAGGTAAAGGGCCCAAACAAAACCCAACCTGCTGCACTGACTTGTTGTACTGATTTTCATCTCCTGACACGCTGGCTAGTGAGACTCATTGTGATGCTCACTGACAGATCCTGCAGGCCTTTTGATCTAGCCTTACAGTCTTTGATTCAGTTCTTTGTAGGTTGGAGGTCATGTTCTGTTCTGTGGACCCCTGAGTAGTCAGCCCAGTGAACCGCAGAAGGAGCCATCTCTCGAGAAGCTACCGAGTGCTGAGCTGCAAACACCGCCCCCAAAAAGGGACGGCAGCATCACCGGGTCTGACCCCACCCCTCCTGACCAGCCTGTTGGCCAGCCTGCTGGCCAGACGCGCTTGGAGTTGCCTAGGGTTACTTTGCAGGGGACACTCACTGAAACTGAGATGAAAGCTATGAGCAAGGCAGGCCACCCTGGAACACAAGCCCACAGCTCTGCAGCCCTGCAGACAGACAGCCCCCCAGAGCACATCTTGGAATTGGATATGTCACGAGGAAAGGCTGCCAAGCTGTTGAAGGGTCAGGAGAAGGCTGCAGCCAAGAGCAAGGGCAAGGGCAAAGGTAAGGGCAAATCTAAGGCAAAGCTAAAGCTGCCCTGAAGCGACCAGCTGTGGCCTGCAACGTTCCCAAGAAGGCGGCCAAGGTCGCTCCGGCGGTCACAGATCCCAGTGCTTCGGAGGACACAGGGTTTAATCATAGGAGTCAGCCACATGACCCTTTCCCTAGCCTGCAGATTCACCTGGTCAGTTTGCATTTTCAGGAACTTCCTGAAGAGACTTCCTTGCTTCCTGACCCAGTTGATGCATTGGTGGAGTCGGAGGGCATCTTGGAAGAGGGTGTGAACCACCATCCTGACATCGATGTGATGAGTGCAACACAGCCAGACGAAGGGCTCGATGAGATGGATGTGACTGTCTTGAATCCTGATGAAGACACGATGGATTTGGCAGACTTGGCAACCTGGCAGACCTACAGCCCTGCAGCTGTGAAAGGTGAGTCTGAGAATGCTGTGGCCGATGCGAAGGCTGTGGAAGCTGAGTCTGAGCAGAACTACAGCCCTGCAGCCGTGAAAGGTGAGTCTGAGAATGCTGTGGCCGATGCGAAGGCTGCGGAAGCTGAGTCTGAGCAGAACTACAGCCCTGCAGCCGTGAAAGGTGAGTCTGAGAATGCTGTGGCGGATGTGAATGCTGTGGAAGCTGAGCCAGGATCGCGGCCTTCACATGCAAGACTTTCGCAGGTCGTCTGTGTCCAAGCAACGACCCTGCGAAAAGTTTTTTTGAAAAGAAGCGCGCGGCCTTCTACAGGAATTTCTAGCCCGAGTATTGGCTGGATGTCCATGAGAGGGCATGGTCCAAATTTGCTGGGAAGATGGAAAGGCCCTTGCCAGACGTTGTGCTGTAGTTTCAGCAGCTGCTGCAGCTGTAGAATCCTTGACCTACGTTTGACTGCCTTGCCCAAGGCTTGCAGTCGATTTCCATGACACAGCAGACCTGCCGACCTGCAGACTTGTGTCAGTGTTTCAGTTTGGGAAGAAGGCTGGGGTACGACTCACTGTCAGAACAGTAAAAGAGGTGCTCGATGACAGATTATCAAGTTGCTTGCACAGTGACACATCTCAGGGTCATCTGCTTGTCAATGAACGAAGGTTTCACGGCTTTACACCATGCAGTTTTCGTGGCTCAGCCTTGCAGCCCCCTACAGTACAAACTTGCAGCCCTGCGTCATGGATTTCCTGACTCCTGATGGCAACATCGTGCACCAGTGCACCTTGCAGAAGATTTTTCTCAGACGTGATGACTGTCTTGCGCAGTGACATGCATGTCCTGGACGCAGAGAGCAAGCCCAAGTACACTGATGTGTGTGAGTACTTGGCAGTACTGCTGGGAACACCAGACCAGAGGACCAACTTGAGTGCCCAGATGAAGGACCTGGAAGATGCGTGCAGCAGGATCGTGGGTGAAGCCAGCCCGCCAGCCCAGCAGACACACTGCCCAGATGTCAGCAAGCTGGAGGACTATGCGAGGCTGCACATGAGAATCTGGTTCCAGGGTGCTCACGAGCAGTACCACTTGAAGGGTGCCCCACCCTTTCATGCTGTTCGTGACAACATTCACAAGATGATCATGGGCTATGGGAGTGAGGTCACTGAAAAGTACCCATTGGAAGTTGTGTTCCACTGGCCTGGCCCATGTCACCTCAGCAGTGACAATGGCATCCCACTTGTACTGCTTGGCAATGTTGAAGTTGGGTTACCTACAGCCTTGCAGCCCAGCAGCCCCAACATGCACGAGCAAAACTTCACTGCCACTGGAGCTGGAGGTGCTCAAGAACCTGCCCCAAAGGACTTTGGTCTTGCGTTTCCTGGCACCAACCATTCAGGTCTGGAATTAGATTTAAATTTGTCTCGCAGGCGTGACTGCGTTGCTGTGACGTTGGTTTCAAGCTCAGGTCCAGTTGTGATGTGCAAGCCAGCTGGCAGCATGGAGTCCCAGACCATGGAAAGCCTTCGTGTCAAGAAAGATGCTGTGGCCAGAATCAGACCGACAGTGGTCAACATGCACTACATGTGTGATGCCCAGACTGACAAACCAGATGGAGCAAGTGTTGATTCATTCTCACAGCTCCTCCGTTTGAAGTCGCTTAAGGCGAGCTCGTGATTCTTAATGGTCCCCTCAATAGAGCGAAACTCGGCCCGGCACTCAATAATGAAAGGTCCCCTCAGTAGAGCGAAACTCGGCCTGCACGTAATAATAACCCCCCAATAGCCTATTCTAATCTCTGTACTACTTCTGTACGACTATACTACTAGACTTCTTCTTCCCTCGCAGCAAAGATCCGACTTCGCTAAGCGTCCCTTCATCGGCGGCATCGGTTGTCGGCGCCAAATGCGCACCCCGTTTGGGGCCCGGTATAAACATGGCTCCGGCACTAGTGCCTGCAAGCCGGTCTGGTAGTGTCAAAAGGCTCCACACGTTTGGCAGTGCACTGATAACAGGCTCGGCAAAAGAGATGAGCAGTGAGCTCACCCAACCCCCTTTCAGATATGCCCCATACGATGCCGGGCATGTCAGACAGACCTAGTCAGGGCGAACACGTACCCTTGATGCATGGCCGCATCAGGAAGTGAGGCACTGGCCATCAGACGACGATTGTCATCCGACAACCAGCATCGGCCCCTGTGCAATTCCGTGGTTGGGTCCATAAGCGCAGCAGTGTAATGACCAACAGCAGTATGTGGACCATGGTGCATAATAACCGCCACAACATGGTACCTAGCCCGGAAGCGGCACGAAGACTGAATCAGGAATCGTAATGGCCTGGCTGTTTTTGACAGCCACCCCATTGTCAAAATTATACCTGGCCAGCTGCACGAAGCACAGGGATGAGGCTTGGCAGAGAGCATGCGGCAGGACCTGATTGTGCCATCCATCGATGCAGTCCTGCAGTGTCTGATGCCTTGCCTGGATATGCAGGATAATGGGAGAGTGCAGGCTGCCTGTGTCCTCGCGTTGTGTTGCGACTCCATCCAAAGTACGGGATTCCCAGACACCTTGGAGTATCGGCGGTTGCATTTTATCGAGCACATGGGTCATGAAGGCTGAGACGTCGTGCTGTGCTGATGGTCGCACCCAGCCGCGCCACAAAGGAGCCCAGGAGTGCAGCCTGAATAGGGCCACACTGGCACGGTGGTAGAGAACATCTCTCCACGCCTGCACTTTGGTGCCGAAGAGCTGAGCCTCAGGCACCTTCAAGAATTGATGGCACCACAGCAGTGTGAATGCGAATGAGTTTGCATAGCAGTGCTGGGAACGATTGATCAAGCAGAGCCTGTGTAGTCCTGCAGCAATTTCTGCACGCCGTTCGCAAGCGAGCTCCTCTTGAGATTGTCCCTCTTGAGTTGCACGCCGCACAGCTGTAGGGCCGTCGAGTTCGATAAGGCTTCGAGGGCTGCCCAGACTTTGTCGACTCCCGTGGCCCGCAGTCCCACTTCCAAGAGAAAAGTCGTGATTTGCTCCGGGTTGGCCGGCAGACCGTTCGTTGCATTGAACCTGTGGATATCACATCCTTCCCCGTCACCGCCGTCACCAACAGGGTGACATGATTGATGACCTCCTGGTGCGTCACCGCAGTCCGGGTGTCGTCGGCTTTGAGAACCTTGTTTTCGGGATCCCAGTGTTGATATACCCATTTGCCCTCCGCATTCAGCCAGCCCTTTGTTTTGGCCTGGGCCTGCTGATCCGGCTGTGTGGTCATGGTCTGCAGGCAAGCAAGCAAGGTCTGAAACAAAGTGCTCAGCAAGACTGCCCGAAGGGGAGCTTCCATGAACTTGGTCTTCGAAGCCTCGCGATATGTGGAGGCAGTCTTGAACAGGATCGGCATGGCCCCTGACTGTCCCGGCTTCAGGTAAAGAGTCCAGGACGAGTTTTGCTTCAGCACCTGCAGCTGGGTCTCCTGGCGAATGACCAGCCTGCCCATCGCCTTGATCAAAGCCACCTCCTTGTCCTGACGAGCCGGTCGGTTCTGTCCCCTGTGACGAGGACCGATGCCCCCTCCGGAAGGCTCTGCAAAGGGCGCCCGCATGCGCTTGTCCGTTTTAGAGTGCTTGTGCGGACGCTCGTTGCCCGACACCGTGTCCATGAGGAGATTGGCTAGCCTGCTGGCTCCCTCCGTGGCCACTGGTCCGAAGATTTCGTGGATCTGTTGATCCGCCATGGTGCGAGGCAGCTATGAAGCTGATGCAGAATTGCCACAGAACTGTGCACTGGGTATTATGTGCCCTCGGTTGCGCAAGGATCGCTTTGCAAAAGTGACAGGGAGAGCTACAACGGGGGTACGACTGACACATCCTGTGGGCAGCATCATTGTGGAGTTGAAAGAGCTCAGCATGTGTACGACGATAGTGCAGTTTCATGGCTTTATGCGAGGCGACCCACTGACCACAGACCAGACAATGCTGGAGATAGACAGCACTGTTAGTGGAGCGAAAGATAGCTCTTGACTCGTACTGCTGCACTAGGTCCGGCCATTATGGTTCGCTAAAGAGTGCAGGCCTCTGTGATGCTGGCACAATCGGCTCAGTAGACACGGCAGGCAACAAGGTGTGCTTCGCTGCACAGTAGTTGCCCTCCACATGTCGTTGCAGAAGCTGGCAAGTGGGAAATTGTTTTCCACATGCTGCACATTGGGGCATTCCTCCGATGGCATCGACTGCCCGATCAAAGGATGGTTGCTCAAGTGCAAGCAAGCTCTCCGGGTGTTGCTTGGCTACGTGAGTTAAAAGGGCAGATCGGAGGGTATAGGCTACGCCACATACTGGACAGGTGCACTTTGACATGGTCAGTTCAGGCACCTGGAGCACTGCCGACTCAGAGGGCGGCTGAAGACTTCTCTCAACCTGTTGCCACCATGGATCATCAGGTCCACAAATCAGGGGATCAACTGATTGTGACACAGTGGGTTTCCGCCTGGCCTCTGATTGAAGGAGCCTTTGCAGCGCAGCGTGGGGCAGTTCAATACCCACCTGTTGGGCGATGTCTGCATTAGTTGTGAAGGTGAAGTGGACCGGGCTCCTGAGAATGGCGCGAAGCTGCTTGATCACCACAGTCTCCAGGGTTTTGTGGCCTGATGGTGTGAGGCCACAAGCTGGCAGGGCGTAGGAGATGCTGCTCCAAACACAGGACTTCCAGAGGTCGACTCGCTGAGTAGCAGTCAAATGATGCCGCCCTTGAGGACAGAGCCAAGTCGATTGTAGGTGGCAGTTCCTTTCTCCAGTCGATACTGCAGGGTCTGGTTCTCAAAAGCTTGGCCAGGGGAATGGCCAGTACCCGATTTCGAAGCTGTATGCGGAGGACCTTGCCCCCAGGGACTTTGCGAACATATCTGCGAGTGATGGTGTTGCTCAAGGTACCTCTGAGGGCCATGACAGCCTTGGATTTTGCATCACTGACCTCCATGCCAAATGCTTCAAGGGTACAGAACAAAGCAGCAATGCAGTCAAACTACTGTACTACTACTACTACTACTACTACTACTACTACTACTACTACTACTACTACTACTACTACTACTACTACTACTACTACTACTACTACTACTACTACTACTACTACTACTACTACTACTCTACTACTGTACTATTGTGATACCCAACAACTTCCACCCCGGCCCCCCAAACAACTACAGATGATCAGGGAGGCGGCCACGCCAAAACTATTGCGTCTTGGTTGTTCGGGGGGGTTAATAATCCGGAGCTCACATTAGGTTCGACCGCATCGTCACACAGAACAGAATGCAGGATCGAGGAAGCTCCGGCAGGACTTGTTTTCTGAATCTAGCAACAAGCACAACCGTGCAGCGTCAGGCAAGTCACGCATCACTGCCGACGAGGTCAATGCGCTTCGGATCTTCGACTCTGCCCCAGTAGAGTTTCGGAAGGCATTGGAGCTGATTTGGGGCGCAGAAATCCCAGGCAACACAGCAGTGCCTCTCTGCATTCCTTCATTGTTGGACATTGGACGGCCAACAAGTCCCTCAGCAATAAGATCTCAGCCCAAAAGCAATCCACTCTGGCACTAGATCGGGACACACAGCTGGGACAAAATGATGGAAGTTCTGAAGAGGATGGAAGGGAAGTGGAACTTCAAGTGTGTCTCGTCTGGTATGAATGCGACCATTCATTTCTACCTTTTCTCTCTTTGGCTCGCCCTCATTGGCCCTGAGCCGTGTGAAAATTGCTACCCTCAGGCCTCCCTAAAGTGTGACTGTTGTATTCAGCCAAGGTGCAGAGTTCACACAGAAGGGACAGGTGCCACCGATCAACTCCCACTTCTACTCCCAGCAGTTCAGGGACAATGGCAAGGAGTCTAAGCTCACGATGATGGCGAGTTTGCTTGCGCATTTCCAGACAGACTTGCAGACCAAGCTGGGCCCTGACACCTACCAGAAGGTGATGACAACATGGAGGACAGGCTTGCTGGACTCCAAGCTCTTGCCCGAAGTCCAGGCAATGCGTCCAGACTTCAAGCTTCCTGATTTGGGTCTTCTGTTTCTCAATGAGAGTGAGGAAGGCAAGCTGCCAGAAACCTTTGAGGCAGACGAGGAAACACAAGCACAGACACACAAGCTTGCAGCCCTTGCCCGCGGGCTCAAGTGCAAGAGCAAGACCTTATGCGAGCACACAAGGCTGTTGCTCTTCGGCACCAGACACAGCAGCTCGCCTCAGAGTCTGAATTCCAAAGAAGCCTCTAACAAAGGCTGTCGATGCAGCGTGGGATGAGCACTGCATGTTTTACCAGTTCCACGCATGCAAGATGGCCAACCTACAGCCCCTCAGCCTTGCAGCCCAGCAGCAGGTAGCATCGAGGCAGCTCAAGGACTCAAAGGATGTGCCAGTTCTCGGCGTCGTGAACATGCCCATGCTTGGCAGCACCTGCTCCACCCATATCGCAACTCTCACCAACCATGTCATTGCAGAGATCAACACTCAGCCCAGCAGATCCATCTATTTGGTGATTCCTCCAAATCAGGCTGAGCATGGGAGTGCCAAGCTGACAAAGGTGGCTCGTGACAAGAATATCACCCAGCACCAGGAGAAGTGGAGGGCAGCTTTCGAATCCAGCCCGACTGCTGTGATTCACAATGCCCGAGCAGTTTTCGGCCAGCAGAGCATGTACTCAGACGACCGGCAGCTCGGATTCTCTCTCTGAATAATTGTTGCAGAGCTCGTGGACGAGAACCTGGCGACCCAGAATGTCTTTGGCAGCTCAACACTTGTGAAGAGGAAGGCTCGGCCAGGTCTCGTGGAAGTGTTCCATCGCTCCAGCATGGCCAACTTCACAAAGCAGCACACCTCTGTCCAAGCAAGAGATACGCAAAGGGATCCAGACGTCGAGCGAAAGCAGTATTTCAGTGGCCAAGCCTTCCTCACGCAGTTGCTGTCCAGAGCCTTGCAGACAAGCAGACTTGGACCCAATAACACAGTCTTGATCAAGGATGAGTCAATGTACGATGCAGAACTTGCCCCGAGCTGCGATGGCCATCAACAGTAAAACAAGTGAGTTGCCCCAGCTTGCCTACATCGGTATGTCATGGTCGTCGTCAGCCAAGCAGACCATCACGACAATGTGAAGACAGAGCTTGAGGAGGCGCTGAAGGGTGCGATTTCACGCAATGAGTACGCCATGGCTAAGATTCCTGCTGCACTTAGACAGCTGTGCCTGCCCTGGACTTGACAGCCTTCAGCCTTATAGCCCCGCAGACCCTGGAACTTCGCTGGCTTCAGAGCACATTGGACGAGGGTGAGAAGTGCGGTTCAGTGATGCTCCCTTCCAGTGAGGCGTGGGCTGGCGTGGGCTGGAAGGACATGAAGAAAAAGCACGAGGACGAGTTTCATCCCACAGGCATGCTGGGCCGAAAGTGTGGACCTGACACTTCTGTGGAGCCGCTGCTCTTGGGTTGACCGCATTTCACAGCACCTAGGCTCAGCGGCCGCGCAGCCCAGCAGACCATCGCCCTGACCAGTGACGTCACGTTGGCAGATGTCAAAGACATGGGTCGTCGGCAAGCCAGAGGAGTGACAGCCTATGAATTCTATATTCTATGCCAGCAAGCAAGGTGATCTCTACGTGCATGGCCTGGCGGACTCTGAGCTCCCAGGGTCGCTCTTCCCGATGTTCGGTGTTTTCAAAACTGGAGCTGAGGCAGCATCCCTTCTCGAGTCAGAGAACCCATTGGTTGTGTCGTACAGCCTGACAGAGGTCCTTGCGCAGGCCAAGGCAAATGCCAAATTGCCTTGCAGAGTTCCAGAAAAGCAGAGCTTTTCTTGGTGAGATCTTGCAGTCAATGAGTGCAGCAGGCCTCCAGACCCCCAGCCTCCACCTCCACAAACTTGACCCACTGGCTGAGAATGGTGGGGTGACGTGGCAGGTGGCCGCCACTGAGAAGGCATGCTTGAAGGCTACTGTCGAGCAGCCACCCGACAGTGGTGAGAAATTCCCGCCAACTGAGATGAGCCGTTTGTCTGTTTATGTCGATTTGGCAAAGCTGAGCAAGATTGTCTTTGTCTTCAAGCTGGAGTACGACCCTGAAGCCAACAAATTCAAAGGTATGCTTCCCTGGGCCTGCTTAACGCAGCCCTCATCCCTGCAGAAAGGTGCTGTGTCCCACCTGTGAATTGCAGACAAGACCTGCAGCCTATCCAGCCCTGCAGGCCAGACCTGCAGCCTCTGAACATAATCTGTGCTGCAAGTTTGATGACGTAAGTGCAGGGAAGCTGTTAGAACATCTGCCGAAGCTCAGATGTGACCGATGCTCAGTATGTGAAACAGGAACAGTGCAGTAGCATGCCTTGCCTTGTGGTGCAGCATGGAACTTCATCAGTTTACAGGTGTCTCGGTTCCTGCAGTTACCGAGACAGCCCGAAATTCCAAGACAGTTTCAAGACACTTGACATCCTTCAATTATGTCCTGCCAAAATCTCAGGTCTTGGCCCAGACTGGCTTCGACCAACCAACTCCCAGCTTCTGTGACACTCTACTGCCTCAAGCTCTTTTTGTTTAGGTGTGATGCAAGGTTTGCCATGGAAGCCAGCAAGCTGGCCAATTAAAGAGATGAAGTCCACAAGCTTGTATCATCAGTCAGTGAAATAAGCATTGCAATTTGCAGGACATGCACTCTTTGTGAAGTATAACAGTATATGCACTGCCTGGCCAGCTAGCTGGCAGCCGTAGCGTAATCGCTGCCTCCTGATGACTTGACTGTAACCTCTACTGTCCTGCCAGCTAGCTGGCAACAGCAGTAAACCTGTCGGCAACCTGTGTGGCAGCTCACTGAGGACTGGGCATCGACGAGGATCCGGTTCGACCTTGTTTCCAGCTCCAGTGGTAACATGACTATCAGGTCCAGCAGCAACATGACAATGAACCCACACATGCCTTCACTACACAGCTTTTTGGCTAATCTCCAACCTGCTGCTGCAGCTTTGCTGCAGGTCTGCAGGGCTTGAGCTGCTTGATCAGCGCAAACCAATGGAGAGAGAATCACCAAGCCAAGCTTGACATTGGGTGAAACAGAAAGGAACCGGGTGGCCACCCACCCGTACCTGGGAGCGGCCCCGTCCCACGAGGGGGCCCGGCTCCGAGGCATGTGGGGCACCACCGCAGCCCTCCCTCTCTCCCTCTCCCTCAGCCTCTCTCTCTCTCTCTCTCTCTCTCTCTCTCATAGGGGTCGATCAAGACCCCCGGGCATCTTGCCCACCCGATATGCTTTATCGGGATTTTGGGGGTGTGAAAGTCAAATGTAGACCCCGGTGTTAGCTAAAGCCGTACAAGTATACGATAATGGACTACCAGGGTCGCACATTTTCAACAGACACATGCACAACTCTGGGCGTCCCCCGTTTGACTAAGAGAATGTTCTACGAGCTATAACGTAACATAAGGGGAAATTTGGGTCCGCCACAGGTTGCTCAGTCCCCCGCTTGTGCTTTTACGCGGCAGCGAATTATTGACTTCGCGGGAGCTTTTACACACGAGACAACTCGGAATATTCGGGAAAAGACATGATCTTACGAACAATAGAAACAACGCAATTTCATGATTGTCCCCCGCTGTCTCGTCACAAAAGAGAGAGACATACAGTTAGGTAGTACTCATCACACAGCCTCAATTCTGGACCATTTAAGATTTCACTCGTCACAATGGCAGATAGAAGGTAAACACAAGTGCGATGACACGAAATAGGTTTGCAGTCCAATCAAGGCTACAGTCCTTGGAATTGCAGGAGAATTTAGTCAGCCTCGCGAAAACAACAACACGTAGCAAAAGGGACTACATGAGATGTATCATAGTACGACTGCTTCCCCCTGTCAAGGCTAAACCAGCTTGTGCAGCTGTCTGTGCTTTCACTCTTCCGATAGAAGTCTCAGACAAAAGGTTATACACTAGCAGGACATATAGTGCAACAAGAAGTTTTCCGACTTCTATCTGTAGTGTCAACTGTCTCGCAAATGCCACGGTGGATTTTCATATACCCTAAAAGCAGGTAGAAGTACAAGAAAGGAAATCCCCCGCATCATTCACATGACAGGTCGTGGTACTGACCTTGCTAGGTTTGAGGCTTCGAGTGTCCAGTCTCTGCTTCAACAACAACAGACGGTAAGGAGATTATGGGTAAAAGGGGGTCAAAAAATTGAGGGAGCCTCTCTCTCTCTCTCCCTCTCTCTCTCTCTCTCCATCGATTTGCGCTGATCTTGGCAGGCAAAGGTAATTCTTCTGATCTTTCTGGACCCGTCTGTTGTGCTTGTCGATAACCGACCAGCACGACAGACGGGCCCAGAAAGATCAGAAGAATTTGCCGTCACTCCAGCGCAGGTCTTTGTCTTTTCTGCCCCCCGCATCTGCTGCTCTACTGATGCCAATCAGAATGAAGTCGTGGTCCATCTTGAACCAGAAGCTGGTGTTGCAGCTGCATCTGCACCAGCAACTGCAGCTCTGATCGAGCCACAGCACTGCTGTCAACCACAAGGGGTAGCTCCTGATCAGCGCCACTCAAACTTCTTAGGCTTCGAAGTGCCTGCCCAATGCAGGGTCATTCATGCGTGTCTCTCTCCAGCTTTGGCCTCCTGTGCCAACAGAGCATTGTAGACATGTTTCACCGGCTTGCGAGAGATCTCCAGCTGAGCTTGCGCATCGGAAATCAGAGGGGCTTTCAGAGCATTGCTCCGACAGTAGAAGGTGACGACCCTGCGTAGAGCCACGAGTGAAAGTCCGATTCCTCTGAACACCGAAAAGTCAGTCACGTTGAGTCTCTTACCACATTGCTTCCACTGGCAACGAAAGTATAGCTTACCTGGACAGGAGGAGAAAGTCACGGGCCCACTCACAAAATGTTTGCAATCCGGACAATCATCTGGGATATGAATAAAGCCGAAGTCCAAAAGCTCCTTGTAGGCTTTGCCACTGTCAATATCCAATACATCGACAACCGAGTCTGTGACGTGGTTGTGTGCAAACTGGCGCGTGCCGATTCTCAAGTTTTTGTCTGTCCCGTACTCCTTGGATGCCTGAGACTTGCCTTCCCCAGACTTGTTGTTCACAACTTTGACTGGCACTCGTTTCTGGAATCTCTTCATAGGCTGTTGCTTCAGAAGGCTCCGTACAAATGAACGAAGATGGTTAAGCTTTGCTCCAGGAGGCTTGCATTGTCGAATATTGTAGCCAACTTTGCCACAACATGAGCATCTGTGAAGTTTTTGTGATCGAAGCCTGCCATTGCCCTTTCCCATGCTCGCTCAACGGACGATGTATGTGTGGATGTAGTGACATGCACATACATCTATGTGTATACACATATCTACACATTCGTATATATATATATATATATGTATATATATATATATGTATGAATGTGTGTCTACATATATATATATATATGGTAACCCCGCCGAAGAACTACCGACCCTCATTTTGTATCGTAAATACCGTGTTAAACCAGCTTTTCCGGCAGGTCCGGATTCCGTATCTCTCAACGCCTGCTGACACCAAGCACCCATTTCAATAGAACGTGCTAGACAACTCGTTCAGGTTCGACGTGAAGCAACACTGTACTCTTCCAATGAGAAACCAATTTTTCCCTAGGGAAAACCAAAAAAACAAAAAAAATATACATCTTTTGAGAAACTATACGGCCGGACTCCAAAAACATGTTTTTGGTGTTTTCCCTAGGAAAAGATGGTGTTGACATGAAAAACCAACTATGTCCTAGCAAAAAGATGGTTTTGGAGAGAGAAACCAACGTTTTCCTAGGAAAAAACAAAAAAAGTCGTTTGGTAAACTATGTGGCCAGACTTCAAAAAATGTTTTTTGTTCCCTCAGAAAAAATTGGTTTTTCACACCAAAACCATCTATTGGTTTTTCACACCAAAACCATGTTAGGGGCTTACCCTCCACAGGCGTCGCGGAAACTTTTCCAGGCCTGCTCTGGAACCCGCTCCGGAACCCCCAAGGGCTGAAGACCCCATCGCTTCGCTGTTGTGGTAAAACCAACGAAAAAAACCTTAGGAAATCACACGCAGTCCGTCGGAAGGGATGCTTTCCGTAGGAAAAACCTAGCAAAACCTAAGGAAATGACAGAGTAGGACGGAAAATAATGTTTTCCCTAGGAAAAACGAAGAAAACTGGCAAAAAACAATTATAAAGATACCACTAAAAAAACACCCTAAGAGATGCTGGATGCGAAAGGGACTGCCTGCTCCCGTTACGGCTTCAGCTGGTCTGGGGCTTCTAAGGCTTAGGGCCTATGGGGCTTGATACGGGCTTAAGCTGATATTGAAGCTCAGACCCAAAACACTATACCCTAAATCATCCCCAGTTAGGGTTGGATACAGAACATGGGAAAGGTAATTTGGGGAAGAGGGAATCGGGTTTAGGCTCAAGGCTCGGGACATCTCATCATCTACATCGTTCATCATCGTTCTAGGGCTCAAGAGATTTAGGGGCTGGGGTCCCGACTCGAAAGAGACCCACTGCCCTCCAACCTCAGCGAATCTACGGCCGAGATGCTGGATCTGGAAACTTTGACCCTGCACCGTCTTTTGTCCAAAACCTCCCCTGCAAACTGACAGGAAACCAGACCCGTCCCGCAAGACATGCAACATCAACCTGGCCTCCCAGCTCCATCCAACCTGCCTTATGTCCAACAGTCCAACATGGCATAACCGCATGAAGGGTTCTGTACTGGGAATGGTAAGCTCGAGCTGCAGAGCGCCGCTTTCCTGCAGAGGGAAGCTAGGTACACCAGCAACCGCGAGACCGGAGACACCCTAAACACTAAACTTTAATAAACCCAGCGTAAAAATGTCCACCGCCACTTCATGAGCTGCAGCGGAGGTCCTTCGCATTCGCATCCGCACCTGCATTCACCAAGATCTTCAACCTACTCTTACTATATACCTTACCTCAACACGTGGCCCGACTCCATGATGGGTCTGGCAAGGAAAGGTAGAAAGCCGTTGACAATGAGTAGTCAAGGCAAACTCAAAGCAGCAGTTGTGTAGCAATGGCAGCTGCAGCTGCAATGGTCGCAACACTTCTCCCTGAAACTTAGCAGATGCCTCTCCTCGCGCCAAAGACTCCCAGAGCGATGATGGAGATTTGGAGCGACCCTTCTCTCACAACCCTTGCATGGCGCCATCATCAGATGGCTGAAATTCAGAACTTTCAGCCGGGGTGTTGGAGAGCCAGCTATCAAGCTGGACGCAGTTGCGACAGCCCAAACATCCCCAACTCACAAACGCGCCACCTACCCTCTGCTGCTTGCTTCCAAAAAAAATACCTCTTCCTCATCTGGAAAGAAAAGGATTCCGGGGAGGTGAAATGAACACTAACATCTGCGCCTGCATCGAGAAGAACCTGGGCAGTCTTCTCGTGGCCCCGCCAGGCAGCGGTGTGAAGCAGTGTCTTGCCGTCGTGGTCCTGCCCACGGGGGCTCGGCTTCTGTTCCCTTGCTTTGCCCTTCGACTTCGGTGCCGGGGGCTTGTCGCGCTGTAGGTAAGCACGCAGAAAGAGCTCAGGCTCAGTAACGGAACCGCTTTGCGCAGCCCTAGTAGAAACAGGAACCGCGCCACGAGCGAAATAAAACTATCCCTGGGAAGCCAAGCAGCGGAAACTACGGTGCAACTCTTCTGTGGGGGACAGTTTTCGGCCCCTTACTTTGCGACCACTAAAGCCGTATGCTCACGCCTATTTTTCTTCGTTGGGCTCATTTGGAGTTCAGGAGTCATTAAGGTTCATGGTTTGGGATAGAGGAAATCACTGGCAATACAAAGGGTTTCAACATGTCGAAGAATGGTTCAGGATTGGAGGCTTACAACAAGAGTTCACATGTCCAAAGCAACCCTCGTCGTGAATTTCTGATGGCTAGAGCTGAATAGCGTCGGAAAGGCATGCTGGAATCGTAGGTCTGAATCCGTGTAAGTGGGGGACCGGAAAACTTCTCCTGATTTGGGGAGCCCATAAGAGATGCTGGATGCGAAAGTAAGTTTAGGGCCTATGGGGCTTGATACGGGCTTAAGCTGATGTTGAAGCTCAGACCCAAACCACTATACCCTCAATCATCCCCAGTTAGGGTTGGATACAGAACATGGGAAAGGTAATTTGGGGAAGAGGGAATCGGGTTTAGGCTCAAGGCTCGGGACATCTCATCATCTACATCGTTCATCATCGTTCTAGGGCTCAGGAGATTTAGGGGCTCTCCCCTGCAAACTGACAGGAAACCAGACCCGTCCCGCAAGACATGCAACATCAACCTGGCCTCCCAGCTCCATCCAACCTGCCTTATGTCCAACAGTCCAACATGGCATAACCGCATGAAGGGTTCTGTACTGGGAATGGTAAGCTCGAGCTGCAGAGCGCCGCTTTCCTGCAGAGGGAAGCTAGGTACACCAGCAACCGCGAGACCGGAGACACCCTAAACACTAAACTTTACTAAACCCAGCGTAAAAATGTCAACCGCCACTTCATGAGCTGCAGCGGAGGTCCTTCGCATTCGCATCCGCACCTGCATTCACCAAGATCTTCAACCTACTCTTACTATATACCTTACCTCAACACGTGGCCCGACAGCACGGTGGGTCTTGCACGGGGAAGAGGTACAATAACAAAGGACTGAAAATCAGCATTTAAGCTGTTGACAATGGCTGGCCAAGGGAAACTCAAAGCTGCAGCTGCAATGGGTCGCAACACTTCTCCCTGATGATTAGAAGGTGCCTCTCCTCGTGATAAAGACTTCCAGGCCCACAAACACGCTTGGTGCTGTTGGGGAAATTCCGCCGCCTCACCCCCATATGCCTGAATTGATTTGCCGAGAGACCCTTAGCCTTCGAGGTGATTCCGGAAGACCTTTCCCGAGCCTCCGCTCCAAACCATGAACTGGAGCCTACATGAAATACAAGAATGGCCGATGAAAGGAGCCCCTCATGCAGGTTGGGGCATCCGATTTGCGCCTCTTGTTGGCACTTGTGCTTTGAAGTTCGCTCCGTGCAAACGCGTTTGCACATGAGCATGGCCTGTCCTATTTCTGCTGACCACCTGCTGTGTCTGATGCCTCCGCAACATCAAAACTCTCAATACCTTGCAGATCTCGTGGGCCCAACAAATATCAGAGCTCAGCAACCTCTCCATACGGCAGTGTGTTAATGCCGGAGCTTGGGGCTGACCCGAACAAACAAGCATCTTACTTTGGGTACATCACATCAAAAAAACCACAACACTTGGCTTTTTCACCTCAGTGGTGATGGAGATTTACAGCTTTTTTCTTTGAGAACCCCAGCACCTTCAACCCAGGGTAGCCCCATGGCCCCAACATCAGAAGTCTAAGAGTCAGAACTCGAAGCAACGCCCCACCTACCCTCTGCTCCTTGCTTCCCAAATAGCCCCTCTTCCTGATCTGGAAAGAAAACGATTCTGGGGTCGTGAACTGAACAGTAACATCTGCGCCTGCATCCAGGAGAATCTGGGCAGTCTTCTCGTCGCCCCATCCGACAGCTTTGTCAAGCGGTGTCCTGCCATCGTGGTCCTGCCCGTGCGGGGCTCTGCTTCTGGGCCCTTCCCTTGCCCTTGGACTTCGGTGCCGGGGGCTCGTGATGTCATAGGACTAAGCACGCAGCAAGAGCTCAAGTTCTGAGCTTCGGGTGTTAGGTTTGATGGCTTCAGATGGTCTGACGGGCCTATGGGGCTGAAACTCATGTTAAAGCTCAGAACCAGAACACAATGCCCTAAACCCCAAAGTAGGGTTGAATACAACACCTGGGAAAAGTGCTTTCAATACTAGGGCTTCAGCTGTAGGGCTCAGGGCTCGCATCTGAAGGCATGTTTGGGGCTTCTCGATCTGCATCGTTCTAGGGCTTCCAACCTCAGCGAATTTGCGGCCAAGATGCTGGAACTAGAAACTTTGGCTCTGCACAGCCTCTTATTCAAAACCTCCCTACAGAACTGACAGGAAAACAAACCGGTCCAGAACCACGTGCAGCATCAACCTAGCATCCCAGCTTAAACCTGAATTATGTCCAACCTGGCATAACAGCATGAATGGCTATGCACTGGGAATGGTAAGCTCGGGCTGTTTTCCTACACA